AGAGAGAGAGAGAGAGAGAGAGAGAGAGAGAGAGAGAGAGAGAGAGAGAGAGAGAGAGAGAGTGCAGCCATAGCCAGTGAGAACTAGGTGTTCACTGGATGGTTTCTCAAGCCGATTGTTGCATGCTGCCCAGGGATGCTGGGCCTTCAATTACTCATCACCTTTTTCTGGTTTCATCAACTATTTTGGCTATGACTATTCAATTCCGATTTTCTGTGGTGGAGTTGCAGTCCAGTGTGATCTCACCTCAATCAAGTGTGTAAGTGAGATGATGGATGGAAGTACTTGAGATTTTGGAAACGTAACAACTATTATTGTAATCCAAATCCGTGTGAGACAGAGCACCATTAAACCATTTGAATTTTAAACTGACACTGTCAAACACCTGTGATAGGAGCTTCATTGTTCACAAAGTTACACAAACTGATCAAGCTCCGACCACACCTATGTGGTACCACAGCAAGCCAAGTCGCGGCATCATTCCTGGCAATTATCTGCAACGGATCTTCGCAACAGATCTTTGCTTCATACTCCACATGTGTCACTGGGTATGCGTTGATGGGTAAGAAAGACTAGCAAGCTTGTGAAACGCCTATGTAGTATGTTATCAATTCCTAACGGGAGAGGATGCAGAAGACGGATGAGACAGACAGGGTCATTATGCATACCTGATCAGCAGAACAATCAGAACAAGGACTGCAACGGCGAGTCCAATTGTGCCAATGAACGTAGCCGCACCATACAAACGTACCTGAAACAGCAAGATGGTAGAGTAAGAATTCATAGAACCTTCCAATGCAACTGAAGGAAAGGAAATGATTGCAGCAGAAAACTATCCTCTGAGCACATGCAATGCTTGACCTTGAGAAGAAATGGTTGCACCGGAATTGTAGCCAATGCAATCCACTAGCCCCCACTTGCAGACCAATTTGTTCAACATGGAATCTTGCAAAGCTGAGCGTCACAAGGATACCTTGGAGAATAAGCTCAGACCACAAGCACATTGTGCTCCCAGACCCACACTGACTAGCTGAGAAAGCAGCAAACAGAGCCATCGAAGCAATGACCACAGATGCACAAAATATTGGCAATATTGAAGTTCCTTGATGAAGAATCAATCACGGCGCATCCAGCAATCAACAACACCAATACTAATAATGTGCAATAGCAGTAACTCCTCCCAGTGCTCCCACCGACCGGGCAACATGATCAGCCCACAACCACTGCTTGCTTGATGTCATGTGTAGAACAATGCTTCCCATTCCCTTGTCGAAAAGTACCATGCCCAACACACTGCATTCTCAAGGATCAACTACTTTTGGGTATCATAGAGGCATAGGGGGCCTTCAGAGACTCTACCATTCTTCCAATGGTGCCTCTATTGGGACTAAACGAAGCCCATAGAATGGCCACTGCCATTGGAGTTACCTGTAATAAAGGCAACAATTGTTTTAATAACTCTGCCTGATGAGTGAAAACTTTAACGAGTCTGTGGCTAAAAACTGGTACCTCCGTCTGCGTGCTGAAAATTGGTACCTCAGACAGTCCATGTGCCTTCGGCTCCAGTACTATTAGGTTTGGCTCATAGACAGATGGCTCTCACTATTTCAAACTAACCAGTGCAATCGGATGAAGCCTACTGGAGCCAGCTGTACAAATAGCAGAAGGAAACCTCCCCTTTTCTGTTCTTTTCCCCCATTCTGTCAACAGGTCAGCGGGCGGTTTTCTCCAACCATATATATTGTCACATATCAACTTAAAGAGTGCACTTATGCAAAATGAATGAAGAAAAGAAGACAGAAGACACCTCAAGGCACATGTAATGAACCCAGACTGGAAGATACTCATCAGATGTCGAAGCACAAGTAGACTCAGATCTGCACAATGTCTACAGTTAACGTGAAAGTGGTATCTGAAAGAATATCTCGTTACCAAAGACGAGGAGAGTGGAGGGGGGATAGACAGAGGAGAGGGTGGAAGAGAAATCAATGACCACACAAGAGTAGCCCTATCAATTCCCTCTCCTTCTCCGGGCTTCCCCTCGCCTCCACGTCATCAACCAATAAACAGTAACAAGTCTGATAAGTCCTGATCACATAGAAGTGCCACGCGGCACTATCATCTCGTGGAGCCCATGAAGACCACAGCAGTACACGGTATCGACGTCAACCTCAGGTGAGTACCAGATCCCAATCATCCACAGATCCCGATCTCCCTCCTTGTCGCAACCAGTCACCTCCTGTAGACAGCCTGGCCAATGCCACGTCAGCAGTACAGACAGGTGGCATGAGCCACATCAACAATGAAGACAGGGGGCAGCGCCACATCAGCAATGCAATGTAGACAGGCTGCAGCGCCACATCAGCAATGTAGACAAGTGGCATGCGCCACATCAGCAATATAGACAAGTGGCATGCGTCACATCAGCAATGTAGACAGGTGGCATGCTCCACATCAGCAATGCCTGGCGCACAGAACAGAAGGCGCCAGCAGGCTACCACAGTCCCGCGTCGTCGTCCACAGTACTAGCGCACAGCCAGTGTCAAGCCAGCGTCGAGCCAGCGTCAAGCCAGAGTGAAGCCAGTGTTGAGACAGCATAGCAAGACTGAATGCTGACCACCCGGAGACCAAGCCTTATGTAGTATTTGACGAGGCTGTCTGGCCTCAGGTCCCCTTCCCACAGTCGTACAGATTGACTCACAGCCGAGGGCCTGGATTGTGTACAGTTGCAGACTTCCACTTGGTCCTGATGCTGTCTGGGTACCTGCATACAAACAAGTGTGTGCGTCTAACCGGCGGCCTGGGCTGGGTACACTTTGACTTTGACTGTTGGGTGTTCGACAGTTGACTTTAGTCAACTGTTACTCATCCAGGCCCCGAATCTTTACGTGGGGTTCTTATCCCCCTTCGGCCTGGGTCTGAGTGCGGCCTGGCAAGGCCCTCAGACATTCCACGAGGCATACTGCTTGGGTTATTGCACACACGGAAACCCCAGGTTAAAGGAGAGACAGAGACCGGAAAGACATAGCAAAGGAAAACAGAGAGCAAGTACGAGTGTGAAGACGAGATGAGAGTGCAGGGAAGGGTAAATGAAGACTAGGGAGTCAGTCTGTGCTCAGCAACCAAGGGGGGACATGCACAGTAGGGATGAGATGGGTGATGACATCAGCAATCTCGCTCAGAATTGATATTGCCATATACGATTCCTGAGCCACCGCACACTCAGGTGGGCAGTGCTTCCAGCCTACCTATGATTCCAGGAGCTGTGTGGATAGTGGTACAGGTGGTGTCGCACAGAGGAGGCAAGGCAGTAAGGATACCTGAGGGATGAGCTTCAAGCTAGGATCTCATAGTGCCCAAGGGCTGGGCTTCAGGGTAGGGCCAGGGGGTCCCAGTGGGACTATACACTAACTGTGTTTGCTATTTCCTTGGTTTGGGCCTTGCGGGACTTGATCCCATGACCTGTAATTTGTACGTTTGGTTCGTTAGCTTTGAGTCCTACTGGGCTTCATCCTTAGATCTCTAGCTAGTAGTCTCTATTTTGGTGAATGACTGTTTTGAGCCTTATTGGGTGTTACATGCCCAGTTGGGCGATATATAGCCAAGGATCCGCAATGTGATAAAAAGGACTGAATGGACAATGCAGTGCTAGTGGAATCTCAACAAGCAGTGTACATCCTGATACATACAAAAATGGCACATAATAGCGTAGTGGAAGACTTGGATATAAGCTTTGATCTGACCGGGACTGACCTCTCTCACGTAGTACAAGACAGCGCATCAGAATGCTAGAATACCAATGACTAGCCCAGTCAATGTCGCAATGCAGACCAAACATACACCATCCTCATCACAAGGTGTGAAGGGGGCCTGGCGCTACACACAGGAAGAATGCGCCAGGTCCAGACCATACACAGACGAAGAGGAGAGGATCAGACGAAGAAGAGGGGGGAAGATGGGAATGTCGTCAACACCAAGTCTTCGTTACAAGTCCCAAATAGTCCCTCGTCAAATGCCTGAAGCTCAATGTCAAGTCTGGATCCAAATGTCACCAATCCCTCTCTCTCGTAGTCTGCTGATGCAGTGAAGTCAGGTAGCGAGAGGGTGAGGGGGAGATGGTGGACTGAGAAGAGGAAGAAGAAGAACTCTCTCTCTCTCTCTCTCTCTCTCTCTCACACACACACACACACACAC